CCCCCCCCCTCCCCCACACAGAAGGGATTGGAATTTCCTGGAGGTTGGGGGTACTGTGAGACCAAAAAATTTAAAGACATGTATGAAGCTTACCTGAAATTTTCACAGGCGTGGCAGGGAGGGTCTTAGAAAAATCCCGTTTGTGGGAGAGGAATATTTTCTGGAACTACACGTTACGGATCTACACTAAATCAGTTTGTCAAGCAATCAAGAGTAAAACCAACCGTGACACGCTCGTAGGCTTTCCTGAACTTCATGTCATGTATTTGCTTGGACCTTTGATTGGATCACTGGATTCTCTGTCCTTTTTGATTAGCCAGGATGATTTGCTTAGGTTTTAAACTTGAAAAATAGCATAGCTATAGTTGCAGGCGAGGGTGAATTTCACTCCTTTGCTTCCAGAAGTTGTACAATAAATCAATCATTGTGTATACTAGAAATGTTTTACCTGTAAACCACTGAGGTCTTCTCCCAGAAGATCCATAACACCTCCTCCTGTTGCTGGTCAAAACAAACGAGAAAACATGAATATCATAGGTGCAGACTCATTTGTAAATTTGTAAATTTGTAAATTTGTAAATATGCGAATCATAATAAAATGTTGTAGCTGTTGTTTGTTACAGTTGAACCTCTACTAATGGCCACCTCTCTACGATGGCCACCTTTTCTTTTCCTAGCAGATAGTCCATATGTTCACTCTTATATTAACCTCTCCATTGCGGCCACCTCTCCATAATGGCCACAGCCACCAAAGCGCATCCCAAATGTCAAAATAACCTCTCCATAACAGCCAGTTAATCAACAACTGACAAATGGTGAATACAAAACTCCATTTTTTTATCACAATTTTTAGGTCACAAAACTTGATCTGAACTGTGCCTTATAAGTCTCCTTTTCTGTGTAGTTAATGTTTTTTTTTTCACATATTTTGATTGTCTTATGTATTTAAATGCCACAACAAGCATTTTTTCATGGTAAAAATGTTGCACCCAGTCAAAAAACAGGTGTAATATTACACCTCTACCTCCCCATAATGGCCATCTC